TCCCATCCACCACGAGCCGCAGGTCAGCACCTCTCACTCTGCCCTGGGTGCGCTTGCCTGGAGGGCGTGCCAGCATGGCAGAGGTGACACTGGATCCCCAGCACCTGGCCCGTTACCCAGCTCTGGGAGACCTGCCAGCAGTCCCTGTGTCGGAGGGATTACTTTGAATTGAGCCATCTACACAACTGGAAAGTCTTGCCCTTTTTTTATCGAAACGGTTCTGTTTAATTCATGAATTGTGTAGCTAAGCATCACCTTTCTACATTCCAGAAGAGTCTTCATTTTCTGTCTCTCTCTCCTGAGCTGTGACAAAGCCTCTTGAAATCGGGGTGCCCTTCTGAAGCAGTCCTTTCTCATATTGAGATGAGCTGTGGTTTTTTCCCCGTGGTTTCATCACGAAAAGGGGTGCCTCTTGTGCCATTGCCGTGTGGCTGGCATCGCTCGGCGCATAGGCAGTGCCCACGCCCCGCAGAGGCTGAGCAGACGGGCAGAATCTCAGTGACGCCAAGCGGAGCCTCGGCTTGTGTGCTGTGGGGTTTAGAATCAAATCCTTCAGATTTCAAGGATAAACAGTTTCCTTTTTGTTTTTTCTCCGACCTTATGGATGATGTGACCTGGTCTTAGGCAAATTTTCCATTTCTGAAATTGCTCTGATATTGAAGTGCTGTTCAGCATGATTAAACAAAGTGCTGCTGCTCTGGCACAAGAGAAGAAGCATCCTGGTGTTAATTATGTTAGAACATGTTAAGTATGGTGTTAAGCATGTTAGAACACTGGGATTTTTTTCTTGAAATTAGATCAGTCATTCTTTTCTTTCCTCAAGATACTTCACTGCTGACACTGAAGAAGAAGCATAACTCATAACTTGCACTAATGTATATTTTTCTTAAAAATTTACCATTCTTATTTATATTTTTAAGGATTAAAATTTATAAAATACAAAAAAAAAAGAGTTCAACAGTAGCAACTGTGTCCTCTTTTCTTATACTCTGTCCGTTCCTTATAATCTAGGCAAATATAAGGTTATTTAATATTTAAAATGTAGCTTTTTCATGCTACTTGTCTTTCTCCCTTTTTAAAAAAAAAAATTGTGAGGGACTTTCTAATTGCCTTTCTTTTTCTTTTCTTTTTTTCCCTGACTTTATCTAACTTTATTATAGCCTCATTTTTTTTGAATTTCATTATATTTTACAAGAGGGACTCCCCAAAAAACCTGGAATTATCTTTTGGAGGATAGTACACTTGGAATTTGTTCCTCTGCCAAATCGTCAAAGTTTTCATCTGGGAGTTTTGAGATGATTGCATCACACTTTGTGGAAGAAATGACCCAAGTTGTGGCATACAGGTGACTGGTTCTTCCACCGTGGCAATGCGTCTGCCTACACTGTGCTGAGTACTCAGCTGTTTCTGACCAAAATGGCATAGCCCTCGTGCTTCACCCTCCCTATTCACCTGATCTTGCCCCAAGTCATTTTTATTTGTTTCCCTGATGAAAAAAGTCCTCAGAGGGAAAGTTTTGCTGACGTGGAAGAGGTGAAACAAAAAATGGCAGGAGCACTAAAAGGCATCAAAAGTGACAAGTTCAAAAACTGTTCTGAGCAGTGGGAAAAGCATCTCCATAGGTGTATTGCATCAAACGGAGAGTACTTTGAAGGTGATTGAAGTTTAAACATGTAAGAATAAATACACACTTTTTAATAAATAAATTCCAGTTTTGGGGGTCCCCTTATATATTCTATGGTGAAATCCCCCCATTTTATTATTATTATTTTACCAGAAACCTCCATTCTCCAGTCCCCACAGTGACCAGATGCTTCTCGAGGCCTGTGACACACCCGGCCTCCCAGGATTTTGTTCATCACTCCTCTTGGGCTGGGATCCCTGTTCTCAGGATCTGTCTTCACCTGTCCTGATCTGTGCCACCATCTTCTTTAGAAAGGATGTATGGGAAGTAACATTTTGAGTGCTTTTGTGTCTAAAACTGTCTTTATTGTACCCTAGTACTTGTTTGTAGTTAGGCTGGGAGTTGAATTCTGGGCTAAAAATATTTTTCATTAGAAAATGTGAAGATGTGACTGCATTTTCTCAAATGCTCTGTTGCTGACAGGAGGCTAGTTTGATTAGCAGTCCTTTGTGGGTGACCTGGGTTTCCTTTTCAGGATCTCTGCTTCATACTTTTTGTTTTGAAATTCCACGAGGAAATGTAGAGATATGGGTCTTCTCTCAGTTGTGTAGGTGCTTACTGAGCCCTTTGCATCTTAAAACTTGGGTCTGTCCTTCTTGTTGGCTCTGAGAAATTCAACCATTTGTTTAATAGTTTCTCCCTTCTCTCTTCTCTGTTCTTCTGTGTAGGGCTCTTACTAGTCACATGGTATACTTGCCTATTGGATTGGCTGTTTATGTCTTTTCTAATTTCTCTATTATTGCCATCTTTTTATCCAGGTACTTTCATGCCAAGTTTCTCAATTTTATTTTACAAATCGCCTGTTGCTTTTCTTTCTTTTTTCTAATCACTTTTCAAATTTTAAGAATCTTTTATTTTATTTTATTTTTTAAATTTAGAGTCCTCACTCTGTCGCCCAGGCTGGAGTGCAGTGGCATGCTCACGGCCACCACAGCCTCTACCTGCTGGGCTCAGGTGATCCTTCTCCTCAGCCTTCCAAGTAGCTGGAACCACAGGTGCATACCACCACACCCAGCTAATTTCTTGACTTATGGTAAAGATGGCGTCTTGCCATGTTGCCCAGGATGGTCTTGAACTCCCGGGCTCAGACAATCCTCTTGTCTCAGCCTCCCAAAGTGCTGGGATTACAGGTGTGAGTCACAGCACCTGGCCAAATTCCAAGACATTTTAATTTTAAAGACTTCTGTTAAGTTCTTTGTTTTTTCCCCATGATTTCCTATTTATATTGTATATGGATGTACTATTTTCTCCAATATTTTGATTATGGTAGTTTTTTCTAAATGCCCCTTGATTATCTTCGTTCCTTTCAATTTTGTTTTGTTTTCTATGTGTTTTTCTTAGCTCTTCTTTTTCATGCTGATGGATTCCTCATGTGTCAGATTGTCTATTCATATTTTAGAAAGAAAGCCTGAGTAACCAGTGTGGATTTCCTCTGCTGTTGTAAAAGTGAGTCTGTTTTCCCATTTGACCTGTCACCTAAGTGGATGACTGAGTCCCCTGTGTAGGGCAGGATGCATTGGCAGCCTGTTTGCTCTAGGTTGAGCCCATGCTGGGCTCTAGAGGCCCTTGTGCCCATGGAATACTTGACTCTGGTTGGACTGCATCTGCACTGGAAGCCTTGTTTGTTGTTTGTTTCTTCAGCCTAATGCTAGGTTGCCTGTGATCTCCTGTGGGGCTGGGGGTGCTGATGGGGGTGCCAGCCAGCACAGTGCCCGAGACAGATCTTAAGTTATCCCACTGTCTTCAGCTTCACTTCTCACTCCTGCCCTCCCTTGTACCTGGTGGCTTGGAGCCCGGCATCGTCAGGTGTTACTGCTGACTGATTGGCTCTCCAGAATCCATCTAGCATTCCAGCAAGCAGCTTGGCTTCCAGCTCCTTTTGGGTTGCCTGGTATTCTCTGTCTGCCTCATCCAATTCCATTTGCTTTTTGAAACTAGAATGTGTTGGATCTTTTATCCACTGGTGAATCTCCTACTTTCCTTTCTTCCTACTGTTAGGGGTTTATTGCATCTTTTGCCTTCCTTATTTGAGTGTGGTTTTCTTTCTTTCTTTTTTTTTTTTTTAGAAAGCAGAATTTGAGAGGACAGAAAAGCACCCACAGTGGGAGGGCACCCGAAGGGATTGCCTGAGTGTGGTTTTTCAAACTGTAAGTAGCAAACATATTTCTTCAGCCTATCATCTTAAACTAAAAATCCCAGTGTGAATTTTAAGCTACAGTATCTGTTTTCTGAATATTTACCGACCCTGTTTATCTTTGTGGCTGTAGTGTCTGTTTAAGCATTGCATAATTAAGAAATTACTTCAATACAATATGGCATGAGAATTAAATAACTTCGGAGGAATAAAGATAAGATGAAATAATTTTTTCCAGAAAACCTTATATAATAACAACTGCTTATTTTAGTAAGAAAAAAAGGAAAAAAACTACTTAATTAAAGAAAAAGTTCTCAATATTAGATTTTGTGCCTGATTCCTATAGGTTTTAAGTCAACAATATCCTTTCCATGTGACTAATAATGCTATTCACACTTTGGTTTTGTTAATTCTTTTGTCCTATAGAAGATCTTTCTGTTCATGTTATGAACTGCTTAAACATTGCATCAACTTTTTTTTCCTTTCCCTTTTTCTTTCTTTCTTTTTTTTTTTTTTTTTTTTTTTTTGAGTCAGGATCTCACTCTGTCACCAGTGCTGGAGTGCAGTGGCATGATCATGACAATCACGGCTCATGGCAGCCTTGCTCTCCTGCCTCAGCTCCTGAGTAGCTGGAACTACTGGCACATGCCACCATGCTCAGCTAATTTTTTTTTTTTTTAATTTCTTTGTGATGATAAGATCTCCCTAAGTTACCCAGGCTGGTTTTGAACTCCTGGATTCAAGCAATCCTCTCATCTCAGCCTCCCAAAGTGCTGGGATTACAGGTGTGAGCCACCACACTCAGTCTCATCAGCTTTTAAATAACACTTTGGTGAAATAGACACATGAGATAATTTATTCCCTTAGCACAGAGAAGGGATAAACAAACCTTTTTAGTCTGTGATAGCAGAATGGTTTGGTGGATTTAAAAGCTTTAATTAGTATGCTTTAAGCAACCACTTAATTTGTTTCAGTCTGATCCTTAGCTTTCAAGTAGAGTTCTATCTTTGATATACTGTATTGTGTTGCTGTTTCAGTGCTATCCTTCCATCGTTTCACTTTTCCCCATCAAAAAGTATTTACTGCTCACATCTATATAGTCCCTGTGCT